TGTTAGAACGGGAGGGATCACAGAATTGACAAGTCCAACCCCTTTACTATGCAGACACGGAGACTGATGCTTACACTCACCCAAGGCTACAGCTAGCCTGACTGACCTGCAGAATCCAAAATTCAGTTTAACTCTTGGAAGACGGCATCGAGGAATTCCTTCAAGGATGGCACAGAGACTGGGGTCTCCTGGCCTACCTGCCATAGGTTTCAACCTGCACTCATGTCATTACCTTTTTCTCTACAGGCAACAGCATGCATGAACCAGTTCAGGGCTCTAGGATTTGACTTTTTTAGAGAAACCATTGGCACTGTAGCCCTCATGCATGCAACTTTAATGTTTTGTAAGCTTGGCGGGGAAGTCTTCTCTGCAGTCGGACATGAGCATGATTGGGCAACGCCAGGGTTATAGGCACGCGTCCAGTAGTCAGGATCAAAAGAAATGGAGCGGGAATGACTTTCAATATTCAGAGGGGACCAGTTCACGCACTCTTTCAAGGATGACTTACTTAAAGCTGATTTTTTAAAAATAGGGGCTAGCTACAAACAATAAAGTTCATCTAATGGGTGGTAACTGGCATTAAAAAATCAAGTAACAGAACAGAAAATACCAGGATGGAATCCAGTTGCTTTGGGAAAGTTTTATTTCAGGTGTGTGTGTATGTTGGGTCCTGGGTGAGCTGAAATGGCTCTCAGTAAGACTTAAAATTCCCATGAATGTATTACTTCAACTATATTTTATTAACTAATTATATTTAACAGATTCATTATTTTAATTTTATGCTAACCTAATTCCATACAATGATTCCATGGAGTTTTTGGTTTTTTTTTTTTAAATACTGGGAAAACTTGTTTAAACAGGTAAATATGCCTCTGGAATTACTTTTAATTGTATGTTCATGCCTCAAAACAATGAGTATCAAAATGGGAAATTTTCATGAGAACAAGTTTAATCGTGGTCAGCGATCACGAAATGAGGAACTAAGACTCAGCTTTCTTAGAGACCATAATTATCGACTTCAAGGTTTATAGACAAGCAAACTATAGTTTTTATCATCAAATCTTTCTTTCATCCAGTCGTTAAGCATGGACTGAATTCATCTACTTAGCAAAGGAACACACAGTTGGTTCTCCATGGGTTCTGCATTTGAGGACAAAAAATATTTCTTAAGCAAATGAAGAGCTGTGTCTGTACTGAACATGTACAAACCTTTTTCTTGTAATTATTCCCTAAAAATATACTATAACAACTATTTACCCAGCATTTATTTTATTTAAAAAAAAATTTTTTTTGACTTATTATAGAGATGAGGTCTCGCCAGGTTGCCCAGGCTGGTCTCAAACCCTTGGACTTAGGCAATCCTCTCGCCTCAGCCTTCCAAAGTGCCAGGATTACAGGTGTGAGCTACTGTGCCTGGCTTACACAGCATTTAGCTTGTATGAGGTATCATAAGTTGAGATGATTTAAGAATACGGGAAGAGGTATGTAGATGATATGCAAATACTACACCATTTTATATACAGGACTTGAGCTTCTGTGGATTTTGGTATCCATGTCCCAATTCCCCATGCATATTGAGGGATGACTGTACTATTACAAGAACAAAAGGACAGGTTGCAAACTTTTTTTTTTTGAGGTGGAGTCTCACTCCATCACCCAGACTGGAGTGCAGTGGCACGCTCACGGCCACCGCGGCCTTGACCTGCTGGGCTCAGGTGATCCTTCCGCCTCAGCCTTCCAAGCAGCTGGGATCACAGGCGTTCGCCACCATATCTGGCTAATTTTTTGACTTGTAGAGATGAGGTCCTGCCAAGTTGCCCAGGCTGGTCTCAAACCTGTGGGCTCAGGCAATCCTCTCACCTCGGCCTCCCAAAGTGCTGGATTATAGGCGTGAGCCACCATGCCTGGCCTTAATAAAAGATGAATTTTTTTTTTTGAGTCAGAGTCTCACTCTGTTGCCCAGGCTGGAGTGCAGTGGCACACTCACGGCCACCGCAGCCTCGACCTGCTGGGCTCCGGTGATCCTTCCCCTTTAACCTTCCAAGTAGCCGGAACTACGGTGTGTGCTACCATGCCCAGCTAACTTTTTGAGATATGGTAGAGACGAGTTCTCACCCAATTGCCCAGGTTGGTCTTGAACCCCCGGGCTCAGGCAATGCTCTCGTTTTGGCCTCCCAAAGTGCTGGGATTGCCCTCACTAAGAAAGTTCACACCCTTGTCCGCTGCCAGTCATCACCCCCGTCACATTACAGATGGCCTGATATGTGCTTGGGGCTGTTCTCACCGTTTTGTATACATATGCTTTCCGTGAATCAATATGCATCCTTGTGAGTCATGTAAGCGCTTAATCTATTTTTTTAAAAAAGGCCCTTTTGTCAGGACCCACTAAATGAATTTCATAGTCACTAGTGGGTGTAACTCAGCCGGAAATCACCCTTTACCTGTGTCTACCCGAGGTAAAATGCCAGCGGAGGAAGTGAATTAGCACACAGTCCTGGCATTCTTTTCTTAAGTCAAGGCCACCTCTACTTTGTGAGTTACCATTTTGACGGGCATATTTTTACTGGCAAGTAACCTTCACAACACCATACAGCAGGATATAGCTATTTGTAGTTTATAAAGTACGGTCACATGTTTTCACACCTCACATAATTTTCACAATAACGCAGCACTTCGGGTGTTATCACCTCCGGTTTTGAAGCTAAGCTAGCAAGTCAGAGAGGTTAAGTAAGCTGCTCAAAGTTAATGGACCCACTATTGTGTTCTTCTGTTTGTATAATTTGTATCTTGTTTTCTGATTGTAAAAATAACATGCGCTCGTGAAAATACTCAAAAGTATTATGAAAAAATAAAAATTATTTTCATAGTGACAACCTTTTTTAACATTTCTGGGTATTTTCTACTGTTGGTTTGTTTTTAAGTTTTACTTTTATAAAATAGGGTGGCCTTTGATAGCCCACATAAGGACAGAAGAAGTCACAGCCTCTTGGGAGAGGGGGGCTGATCCCATGCCAAAGCTTTCCTTACAACTGCTGGACAATGGAACAACATAAAAACCAACAACCTGGCCAGGTGCAGTGGCTCAAGCCCATAATCCCAGCACTTTGGGAGGCTGAGGCAAGAGGACTGCCTGAGCCCAGGGGTTCGAGACCAGCCTGGGCAACCTGGTGAGACCTCGTCTCTACAATAAATCAAAAAATTAGCCAGGCGTGGTAGTGCGCACCTGTAGCTCCAGCTACTCGGAAGACTGAAGTGGAAGAATTGTCTGAGCCCAGCCGGTCGACGCTGGGGTGACCGTGAGTATGCCACTGCACTCCAGCTTGGGCAACAGAGTGAGACTCTGACTCAAAACAAGCAAACAATCCCATTAAAAACTGAGCAAAGGACGTGAACAGACATCTCTCAAGAAGAAAGGCAAGCCAAGAAATACAAGCAAAGCAATACAAGCAGACAACAAACACATGAAAAATGTTCAATATCACTAATTGTCCGAGAAAAGCAAATTGAAACCACAAATGAGACATCACCTTACACCAGAGTGACTGTTAGTAAAACAGCAAAAAACATGTTGGCGTGTTTGTTCGTGTTGGCATAAATATGGAGAAAAGGGAGCACGGATACACTGTTGGTAGGAACATAAACTAGTTCACCCTCTATGAGAAACAGTATGGAAATTTCTCAAATAACAAAAAAATAGAACTACCATTCGACCCAGCAATCTTTCTACCCAAGTGAAAAGAAGCCATCGTACAAAAAAGACACCTGTGGCTGCATGTTTATTGCAGCACTATTCACACAGCAAAGTCATGTTACCAATGTAAGTGTTCATCAGCAGTTGACTGAAAACAGAAAACTGGTACACACACACCGTGGAATACGACGCAAAAAAAAAAAAAGAATGAAATCATGTCTTTGGCAACTACGTGGAGAAATTGGAGGCCATTTTCCCAAGAGAACTAACACAGAAAGCGAAAACCAAACACCCCATATTCTCCCTTGTAAGTGGGAGCCAAACAACGGACACACACGGAAATAATGACCCTGGGACTCCAAAAGGGACCGGCAGGGGGTGGAGCAACGGTGGAAAAATGACCTGTTGGGCCCGTTGGCAGGAGAGGTACTCTAGAAGCCCAAGCCCCACCAGTATACCACGTGCCCACGTGACACACATGCACAGGCACTCCTCGAATCGAAAATAAGTTCTTGAAACAATTTTAGAGAGCTGTTCCCAGCCAGGCTCTCTTCTTCCTTTTTGGGAGCGTCCTTCGAAGATCCGTGCAGTCAGTGCACGATGGGGCAGGGGAAAGACAGAAACACACTCAAAAGTTTTGGGACACTGACACTGTCAATTCAAACCAGAAAAAAGAACCCAACGTTTTTCTAACTAAAATTACCTAACACTCAGCTGAGAGAGAGAGAGACAGGGAGAGAGCGGAGAGGGGAGGAGAAGAGAGGGAGGGAGATGCAAGAACTCCAGGGACGGTGTGGCCGTGTGGCCTCCGGGACACTTCTAGTCCCCACACACAGCGGAGTGAGGACTCTAACCCAGAGGTCCAGCTTCTGCTCCCTGGGTGACCTACATACCAAATCCTGTCCCCTTGAGCTACAGAGGTCCCGTTTACATCATCTTGCCTATGCTTCGCATCTTTTATATGACTTGCTGCTTTTTGATACGAGTCTATCACACAGTGATTCTTGCTGGGGGCTCAGTAACCTTTTATCATCTAGACACTATGTATATAGGTTTCAAATGTAGTTGAGATGCAAATAAATTAAGTGAACTTATGATCATGAAAGCAATGAATTATTCTTAGTAATGTCTCCGAGTAAGATTGATACATGCCCCCGTTCGATGTGCACTACACACATAGTGTATTATAGATTATATTACGTATTACACATGAAATAACAGTAAAACTCGTAATAGCAACAGTTACAAAGGGAAAGCGAAGTAACTTATCTGGACGTCCTCGCCCTGTAATCCTTCCAAAAGCAGTTACCTGTGTAAAGAAAACGTGTTGGAGTGTCCTCCCACCACGACGTCCACACCTCTCACTTTCTGAGCGATGAGTTTATCCATTTCAAAACCAGAGTGTCCCAGCGCAATAATTTTGTTCACGTTCAGAGTTTTTAACTTATCTACCTCAGGTTGCAATGCAGTGATTTCATCTTCAAATACTAGATTCGTTCCTAAGGAGCAAAATAAACAAAATGACATTTATTAACGATAATTTTTATTGTATTGCTTATCATATCTACTAACATGCCAAGTGTAAATACTTTAATTTACTGACGCTCTTAAATTAGTAAAGCCAAAACATATTTATGTACTAAATGCAAAACCCCTAAGAAGTAAATAAAAATTTAAAGGAGCATCCAGTTCGATTTGCTTTATTTTGCATTCGTTTAAGGTTGTTATTTTGCTTGAACTCGGTCTCAAACTATGAGGAGGCTTCAGATATGGTTTGTTGTTTTTTATTTTAATGAACGAATTCACTTAGAGACAGGGTCTCACTCTGTCATCCAGGCTGGAGTGCAATAGCGAGATCATAGTTTACTCTAACCTTGGCCTCCTCCCGACTCAGCCTCCCAAGGAGTTGGGGCTAGAGGCACCCACTACCACGCCCAGCTAAGTTTCTGACATTTGGCAGAGACAAGGTCTCACTAGGCTGCCCAGGCTGGTCTTAAACTCCCGGGCTCAAAGCATCCTCCACTTCAGCCTCCCAAATTGTTGAGATGACAGGCATGAGCCGCCGTGCCCAGCCAGTTTGCTTTATATACTTTTTCATATTTCAACTTTCACGGTATCCATGCAAGAAATGCTTCAGCATGTTGGCACGACGTATAAAGCAGGATCAGAAAATCCAAGGCATTGGTTGGAAACTTGGGATGGTCAGTCTTCACAGCTAAACCTGTCAGCAAGCAGTCCTTGCATGCCAGTCTTCACACGGCGGCTGGGAACTGAGTGGTGCTCACTTTAAGTGGACGTCAGCGTGACAGCATTATGGAGCTCTGCATTAAATAGGACACACATCTAGTGACAAGAGAGTCCTCCAGGTAGTCCAGCCGCCCTGTGCGAACGTCTAAGAACCGGCTCTAACCTGAAGATGAATGAGAGCTCATGACGAACTCCCGACCTGCAGGAGTCTGCAGACCCTACGTTGGAAAGTTCTCATCTCCCAAAGAGCAATGAGATTAAGGAAAGGCATCCCTTGGTCCACTGTGACGTCTAGGAGTCTCTGTGGGTCTCCGCAGGGATCGCTTGAGTCTGTCACTTCAGTCAACGCCACACGTGCAAATGGTGAGGAAGGAGAATCCATGCCTGAGTCACAGCCAAGGAGGCCCCAGACCGGCGGCCTGAACACCAGCAGCGCTCAGACACGTTGACCCAGTGAGGTTGCCAGTGGCTGGCAGGCAACACTGGAAAAGCAGGGGCTGTGGCAGCTCTGCCTCCACTGTTGGTCATGAGCACACGGAAGATCATCTGCTTCTGCGGGTCACCCCAAGGAGCTCAGGGCTTCCCATCATCCCTCAGCGTCGTGTCCCTTCTCGGTCAGCCCTCCCCCCAAGCATTCCGTTCAGAGGACAAGGGGCACCCTGCCCCCTGCTGCACTTGCCATCTCCCTCCCGCTAATTCCTTCCCCATCGCTCTCACCACCTCCTGACACAGCACATTTCCCTACTCATTCCCCACTGTGCACGAGCACTCCAGGGGAAAGGGGTTTGTGGTCAGTATCCCCGGTGCCTGGAACAGAACCTGGCACACGGACAGGTATTCAGGGCACTGAATGAATGCTGAGAGAAGACTACCCTTCCCTGCCTTGGTTTGGCTGGCAAGAAGGAACAAAAAAGTTCAGAGACATGCCGCTGAGAACCAAGGACTGGATTCTCATAATACATCGGAAACCAGTCGGGCGTGGTGGCTCACGTCTGTCATCCCAGCACTTGGGGAGGCTGAGGAGGGTGGATTGCTTGAGCTCAGGAGTTTGAGTCCAGCCTGGGCAACACAGTGAAACTTCATCTCTACCCAGAACTGAAAATTAGCTAGGCATGGTGGTGCATGTCTGTAATACTCAGGATGCTGAGGTGGATGGATCGACTGAGCCCAGGAGATCAGGGCTGTGGTGAGCTGTGATCATCGTGATCATCCACTACACTCCAGCCTGGGCAACAGAGTGAGATCCCAGCTCAAAAAAAAA